TTCTGTTTTAGGCATGGGTATCCAGTGGTCCATACCCTCTTGACCCTTTGTCTTGGATCATCTATCAGTATTTATGTTTTTTAATAAATATAGGGGGTATTTATTTTGTACCTCTTACATATATACTAGGCTAAATACTGGAGATAAAATTAAATCAAAAGATAAAAGGAATAAGACATACATGTATGAGAAACCCATATATATAACACATACAGGTAAGAAACACATACTCTATAGACATTTTTTAAGTAAAATAGAGATGTATTCATATACAGTAAAGAAAAATAAAGGAGACATAAAATAGATAAGTCACAAAAGTGAAATGAGGTCACTTGAAATATCCACCAAAGCCCTGGCTAAGTTTCCTCTGTCACAGAACAATGTCTGATGTGTTTCTTAAGAAGTTCCTTCTGAGGATCTCTTGATTGATAGAAGAGTCTACATTCTAGGGAATCTAGACAGCTGCTCTTTCTAGGAACAATAGGAAAGACCCTTCCATGAACAATTCAAAAAAACCACGTTAGGCAGGTACTTGGGACCTTCGTCTAGAGAACAGAACCCAGGAGCACCCAGCTACATGACAGCCGCACACACGATAAGGAAGAGTCCTCAGAATGCAATCCACCTTTCTGGTCCTTTGATCTTGGACTTCCAGCCACCAGAATTGAGATAAATAAATGTCTGTGATTTAGATGCCCCAGTCTGATATTTTGTTCCAGCAGCTTGGGACTGTCTTCTTTCAACAGAAGTCAAAGATGCTTACTTCCCCAGCACACAGTGATTTTATTCAGGCACAGAAGTGCACCACAGGATTACGATCGGTTGAGAAGGTAGAAGAGTGTGCATTGAAGCTCTGTTACCTCTTATCACATGTGGAGGGGGCGTGGACTCAAGCAGCTGTCCCCCTATCACAGGCATGGCCATCACTGGTGTTGGGGAAGGCTTGGCCCAAGATGGGATGGAACCTGGAGCAACTTTGCTGCCATAATACAAGGCACCTGTGCAGGAAAAAACTGTATCCGTTAGTTTCCATAGAAATTTCAAGAATCCTTTTTCATTCATTCTTTCTTTCTCTTTTGGCAGCCCCCAGAGGCTCTTGGTGGAAGTTTTATCTCCCCATTTTTTTTTTCCAGTTCTAGGGATTGAATCCAGGGCATAATACATGCTAGGCTAGTGCTGTACCACTGAAAAACAACTTCAGCCCCTTCCCCCATTTTTTTTTTTTTTTTTTTGCGAGGTGATAACTACCAGAGTTTGAACTCAGGAGCACTTACTTAACCACTGAGCCACATCCCCAGCCCTATTTTGTATTTTACTTAGAGACAGGGTCTCCTTGAGTTGCTTAGTGCCTCACTTTTGCTGAGGCTGGCTTTGAACTCACAATCCTCCTGCCTCAGCCTCACCCCCAGCCCTATTTTGTATTTTAATTAGAGACAGGGTCTCCTTGAGTTGCTTAGTGCCTCACTTTTGCTGAGGCTGGCTTTGAACTCACAATCCTCCTGCCTCAGCCTCCTGAGCCACTGGGAATACAGGTATGCGCCACCATGCCTGGCCCTCTTTCCCCCTTTTTATTCCAGAGATCTCTGCTCTCCCACTAGCATCCCAGGAGGAGAGGCTGTGATAGAGTTCTCCCAGGGTCCAGAAGCTGAGGAAGAATCTGCAGTAGGAGGAACTGATGACTACAGATCTTTCTAGAACTCGCCAAACAACAAGCTGAATCCATTTCACTTTCTGAAGAGGTCCCTATCCAAGAGAGAGACTGTGTTACACAAGAAAGATTCTGATATTCAGTCATTCTCCCTGCTTTGAGAAACACAGGCAATTTCCCAGCCTTAGTTTTTCCCTAGATCAGTTTAGGTGTGAGGGCCTCGATCTGTTGTAATCAGGGATGTCAGAAGTCAGAGTTCCACAAACCCTGGACCAGTGCAATAAACTTGGCATCCCACTTGAGCACAATTAAAAATGCAGAAAGCAATCCCTCCAATGGATGCAGCTCATTCTCAAGACAAGGTCTCTAAGAAAGAGGGAAAGGATCCAGTAAACTGGAAGCCCTTCTAGCCTCGGTTATGTACCCCAGGGGCTACCTGGAGACTTTTTACAGGACACAGAGGGCAAGGAGAGCATTTAAGGCCATTTGTAGATTCAGAGCTTCTACATATACTTTTCCTAAGACCCCTTTCTCCTAGAGTATAAATGGAAAGCAGTTGATTCTCCTGCCCTCCCTCATCTAAAGTCCCCAGGAATCAAAGCGTCCATTTGAATGTAGGTACAGCGCTTAAAACTCAGTGACTCCAATGACTGGTGACAAGTCAGATGGTTACTCATTCTTTACTTTCAGTAAAATTGAGAAGGGTTCACATTGTCAGCTGACAAATCATTGAAGTTCTGAATGCTTGAATTTGAGAGTTTGGGCATATAACTGTGGTGGAATTCAGACAAGCGAGTGACATTTCTATTAACAAGCTCTTTCTCTTTCATTCCTATCTAACTTATCTGTGTCAACAATGTTTATCAGTACTTAAGCATGTAAAGCTGTTTTTTTATTTTTATTTTTTAAACATAGAATTGAAGCTGAATCCTGTATCTTTCAGTCTATCCATAAACAGTACTTACCATGAATACTTGAAGGAAAATTCAGCCACATTTTTTTCTCATTAGGAGATGATTTTACTTCAATCAAATTTTACTTCTTATGTATTTCAAAATTTATATCATATCAATGTTATTTTGATCAATGTCTACTAACACTGTAGTAATTTTAATAAAATATAATCCAGAAGAAAAATTTGAATGGTTAGAATCTTATGGTGAAGTGGCACTCCCTTTCTTCACAGAAAAGTCTTAACTGGGCTTCTCTAGAAATCTTCACCATGGCTGATTTTAGGACTGTCAGCAAAAGAGTCTCTGCAAAAGAGTTCAATGTAGATAAACTTCCTATTTTCGAGTTGCCCTGATTTACTTGGTCACTGGCAGGGAAGATACCAGCAATCCAGGTGCTGGACACCCCCTTACTAGTTTTTCACAAATATATCCAGTATAGTAGTTTATAGAAATGTGCAAACAAGGCTTTGAGCTGGGCTTCACAGAGATGTCTTCATTTTTAAGATAAGTTATCAATTGGTCTCCATGGTAACAGCTGGCAGGGGGAGGAAAGAAAGGGGAGAAGAAGCTCTCCCCTTCTCAGGAGTTGTCCTTGAAGAGTTAACTTGCCCAAAACAATGAAAGAAAAAGCTGCTTTTATGTGAACTTCTGAGTCCTTCCCCTTACATGCTGGGTATAAAACTCTGAAACTACCTGAACTCGGGGTTCAGGGGATTGATTGATTACAGCAAAAGCTGTGCCCTCTGAACCTGGCTGCAACTAAATAAAACTATTTCCTGCTATCTTTGGTGCCTTGCCTCATCTGTCCCTACAACAATGGTACAACTCTTAAATTTGAAAGTTAAACAAATATAAGCAAGAGAGAGAGAGAGAGAGAGCGCAAAATAAGCAAACATTTTTCTTGCAGGGAAGCAAGGTGATTAATAAGACTTTGATGCATAAAAATAGATTACATTAGCATATTTTGTGAGGAGAAAGTGGAATGGAAATAAACACAAGTCCAACTAGAAAAAAAGAGAACAATATAAACATTTTAGTAATTAAAATAGAATTTATTTATGCATGTTTTAGATGGATGATGGTGAGTATCACAATAAGTGTTCTGTCTCATTAGATATGTTCAAAACAGTGACGTCGTTTTATTTTACAGAGTCAATGTTTATGATATGCCAGAAATATATTTGTCTCCATGATTTAAATAGGATGAAAAAAATTAAATGTTGATTTAAAAAATAAGTGTGGGAATTGTGTGCTATATGTATAATATGAATTGAAATGCATTTTGCTGTCATGTATAACAAATTAGAATAAATAAATAAATTTAAAATTTAAAAAAATGAGTGTGGGGGCTCAGTGGTCTTCATAATTCCTTTGGGAGAATACGAGTAAAAGTGTTCAAAGATCATAGTGATAAACCATTCTTATTAAAGTAAATTTAATATGCAATCTCAGGCAGGCAGGGACATGAGTTGGGAGCAAGAGGTGGGTTAGGGACAGGACAGAGCAGAGGCCCTAGACCTCAGCATAGGACAAGAAAGCTGCCCTGACATTACTTAACCAGATGAAAACACTGACCTGAACAGCAAGAGTGATCATGTGGAGGGGAGTCGGCCAGCATGCGCTCGTCCCCAGCTTCATTCTCAATCACCATCGCAGTCAGTGGGGTCACAATATGATGTTCTAGAGACATCTGCAGGATTGTTTTTGTAATCTTCCTTTTGGCTGCAGCTGTAGGAGCCAGGCTTCTGCATCCAGGAAATAGAAGCATTACAGGTATTTGAAGGGGGAACTCAGATCCCATTCCCACCCACCTCCGCTACTGATGTCCAGCCAGGGCCTGGGCAGGGGGCGACGACGGTGCACAAGGCAGAGGGAAACAGAACTAAATGGCTTCATGAAGCTACTATGTATTTTATCTAGCTATGTAGTCCAAGGGATTGCTTACATAAGCTATTTTTCAGAGAAGCTTTAGGTTCACAGTGAAATCAAGCAGAAAGTACTAAGATATTTCCTTTGGGCCCCCTGTCCCGCTCTGGACATCTTCCACCAGAGTTGTACATTTGTTACAATTGATGAATAGACATCCATCAATTGTAACTTAAGTCATAGGTCAATAGTTTACATTAGGATTTACTTTGGATGTTGTTTTATGCTATGGTTTGAACAAATGAACAATATATATCCTCCACTGTAATATCATACAGAATAATTTTCACTGTCCTAAAAATGTTCTGTGCTCCATATATTCTTTGCTTCCCTGAACCAGATCAGTGGCAACCGCTGATTTGAGATTGTTTTTTAATCGATATTTAACTTCAGCAGCAATTTGCTCTATACCTTTAAATATATTCAATGTGCTTCTACCCAAGGGGCAGGGATGTTTCTCAAATAGCTTACAGCCTGTTTATTTATTTATTTTTTTGTAATCTTATCGACATCAGGGATTTTCTCTGCAAATCCAGCTATATAATAGTATTTCATTTCCCCAGCCTAGTTTAGATCACCCTATTTCATCTTCTTGGGAATCTGATCTAACAGGTGGAGTGGGCTTGGGAACGGTAATTTTTATCAAACATCCCATGTAATTCTGATGCAGGTGGTCAAAGGACTGTACACTACTCTAGTGATAGATAAGTTTTTATGTTGGAGGGTTATGATGCAGCTCGACTGAGAAGCCAGGGATGACGTAGATGAGTATCAGGAAGCCCTTCCTGGGGGACATTGTAATCTTATAATCATATATTTCTCTTTAGACAATAACCTGTTTTCAAGAGCAAATGTAAATTAATTACTCATATACACAGCAACACAGATGAATCTCATAGATATCATACTGAGTGAAAGAAGCTAGAAACAGATTGCATGGTTATGTGACACTTAGAACAGGCAAAACTAATTGATGGTGACAGAAATCAGACTAAATGGTTTCCACTGGAGGTGAAAGAAAGAGAATAAAGGAACCCTCATGGTTCTATTTCTGGATCTGGGTGGTGATTACATGGGCGATATATATAAAAATTTATTAAACTGCACACTTAAAATGAATGCACTTCACATACTCTATGTATATTATACCTTAATAAAAAAGAAAGTTAGACAAGTGTGCTGGCACACGTCTGTAATCCCAGCGGCTCAGGAGGCTGAGGTGGGAGCATCGTGAGTTCAAAGCCAGCCAGCAACAGGGAGGCACTAAGCAACTCAGTGAGACCCTGTCTCTAAATAAAATACAAAATAAGGCTGGGGATGCGGCTCAGTGGTTGAATGCCCCTGAGTACCAAAAAAGAAAGAAAGAAAGAAAGAAAGTTAATCCAGCTGTAGTTGTAGTAATGGGAACCCATGGAAGTTAATAACACAACCCTATATTAATTTGCTACCTTTCTTGCTTGCAAACCTTTTGTGCATGAACTCAAACGTTGTGGGTGAACGTTTCACTTTTACAAATCACTCTAGTGTGGACTCTTCCCTCCTTACCGCTCCACTAGCAGTTGATTGATTGTTAGATAGGCCCACAATTTCTTGGTGAAATCAGGATCTGCATGCTTGTCTTTTGATAGGAAATCCTCCAGGTCATCCATCTGGGCCAGGGTTTCCAAGACCAACTCTGTGTTAGCCTAGAGGACAGAGGGTTCAATTGAAGGCAGCAGAATTAGAGTTAATTAAATCACCTTGAGTGAATCAGGGCACTAGACATTTGGAGGGTATACAAAAGAAATGGAAAATGCCTCTGTTGGGGAGTAAGTGCACCCTTCCAGGGGCTTGGCGTGGACTTGGATGAAAACCTGAAGATTGACTGAATAGTCGGGAAGGTGGCAGAGCTTTTCTCATGCCCTCTCTTTAGTTACTACTGCTGTTCTACACACAGGATTCTGGGAATGCAGACTATTAGCTTGTTCACACACAGGATTGATTGTCTCCAGGGGACCAGTTAGTATCTTCGAATAAGCGGACAAGCAGATGTACCGAAGTCGCGGTGATAATGCTCTGTACTTGCTCCAACTTATCAGGGTCAAATTTTCCTGCCACAACAATCTCTGAACCTCCAAAATAGTTGTGGAAACTGTTCTGAGTGACGTCTGTTACTGACGGGTGAGGATAGTTGAACTGAACATTCCGGAGCAATGGAGTTGAGACTTGATTGTAGAATTTCTACAGTTTGTAAAAAGAGAAAGAAGAAGGAGAAAAAAGAAGACCAGATAAATAATTATTTAAAGCATTTTTCTCTGAGGTTTTTCTCATGCTTAGTAGATACTTCTTAAGTTATCTCATGTATCTCTGGGACAAGTAAACATACTCATGATTTTTTTTTTTTTTGGTACCCCAGGATTCAATTCAGAGGCACTTCGACCACTGAGCCACATCCTCAGCCCTATTATGTATTTTATTTAGAGACAAGGTCTCACTGAGTTGCTTAAAGCCTTGGTTTTGCTGAGGCTGGCTTTGAACTCTTGATCCTCCTGCCTCAACCTCCCTAGCCTCAGGGATTACAGGTGTGTGCCACCTCGCTTGGCAGGATTATTTGGTGAAAAAAAAAAAAACTGAGATGTGGAGACAATAAGATTTGTTAGAAGCACTATTAATATTTAAGAACCCAGATTTCTCCCATTTTCTGGTATGATCAGCATTAAAAAAAAACCTCATGTATTCTCATAATGACAAATGTCAGCTGAGTCAATACTCCCAAATTAGAACCCTAAACCTTTCCTATTTTCAGTGCCTGGCACTGACATATTTTCTTGGCCATTTAGTAAAATAAACAAGTAATTTTTATCTTTTGTATTTAAGGAAACTTTGAGGCCTCAGTTGGACCTGTTTTACATATTAAAGAACTGATATTTGAGGTGTCAAAGCACTTCAAAGGAAAAACAGTGGCCCCCATGATAGGAAGGGCCATTGCTCAATGGGCCTCAAGGGCCAGCAAAAGCTCTTGGCCTCAGGAGATCTGTCCCATTCAGGGGGTAGGGAAGTGTGTGCTCCTATCTCACCATTAAGTACATGGGTGGAGGGGACTGTAAGGAGGAAATTGAACGAAGTGTTCAGTTCCTGAAGGGGTCTTTCTCTGATTCTTGCAACCAAATAATGATAATTTTAAATTAAGTGCAACTATCTTTGTTTAGGCATCAGATATGGGTAGTTGGATGATTTCCAGGGGATGGGGGACAGAAAACAGCGTTACCTTGAGCTGGGAGGATGTGTCCTGGTTTCCATAAATCCTTTGAGCAATTCCACGATTTTCATTGGATAGTCTTTTCAAAAAATCATAGTCAACATCAAATCCTATCCCCAAACTGAACAAGGAGACATTGTCTTGAATGTTCTGCTTCACGTTTTTTTGGATTTTTGATAGTTTTACCTCACCTGAAGTTGGTGATGACAAGAAAGAAAAGAAGAAGGAATCAATGTTAAAAAGTTTTTGGAAAATCCAGGCAAGGTAATTTAGTGAGATTTATCAAAATTAAAAAATGCACTTACTCTTTGAACTAGTAATTCAAACTTGTAGAAAATTTTCTTACAGATGCACCCATATGTGTCAAAATGAAGTATGGGTAATGGTACATGGCAACATTATTGAGGAATAGCAAACATATTGGAAACAAATTAAATGTACACCAATAAGGGTGAGTGGTTAAATTATGGTACATTTAAACAGTGAAAAACCATGCAGCTATTAAACAGACAAATTTTTTAAATAGGGAAAAAAATTAAGATAAATAAGGCAGTATGTAGGATGTACTTGTATACCTACACGAACATATACATCTATGTTTCCAAATATGTACTTAGAGTAATATGATTTGCATGAAATATCTCTGGGAACTTGTAGCCAGTGACTGACTAGATGGTTAAGGGATAGGAGTAAGAAATAGACTTTTTTTTTTTAAATTGCATTTCCTCTCCTCTCTTATGAGTTTATCCAAAACTTGAATTTTAAAATTTGAGGTGAGGGGAAACATTGAATCTACAACAAAGACATAACAACTAGTCACGTTAGTCTCACTACTGATAAAATGGCCTCTCTTCATCTTTCCAACACTCTGGTTGCCACCGTCATTATTGCTTCATGTATTTTCATTCTGTTTAGCTGTGTCAGGCACAGGTTGGAAAGGGTGCTTGTTCACATGGCAACACACCTAAGCAACACAATCTGTCATTCACTATTCTTTATGTTTGTCAGTGTAGATACACAGGTTTAAAAAAAAATGAAATAAAAATAGGCCATAGAAGTTGGGAGATGTTGGAGCCATCTTGTGGATAAGAAAAATGATTAATCTAAAGATTGTAACAGAGCCGTCTTTTCTCCAGTTGCAACTGGGAGGAGTGTGGAAAATAGAGAATATGTTACTGTGGCCTTTGGAGGTACTATTTCAAGAGCCGGGGTCAGTATTCACCAGTTACAACTCACATACCATCTTTCATTGTCTAAAAATGGAGGAAATAAATGCATTTCACTAGAATGCATCAGCAAATCTTCACAATATACTATTAGAATTCAAACTCAACTCTCTCCCTAGCATGGAAGGGAAACTGAGGCATTCAAGAGCACCACTAAACATATCTGAGGACTGGCTGATGGGATGAGTGCTTCAGGGTGGGAGACTTCAGGGTGGGTGCCTTTAGGAAGCAAGGATTAGAAGTGTTTTAGAAACTCAGGCCCATGTAATTAGACTTCCCATGCAGGGCAAATCACATTCTCAAGCAACAGCAGTGAAAATGTTTGTCATGAGAAAATTGAAGCGATACTTGCCTACTGTTGGGTCTCCATCAGAAACCAGAATGATCAGAGAGACCGAGTTGGGGTCCAACAATCCCAAATTATTGGCTTCATTCAAAATAAAGATCGCCCGCAGGAGTGCTTCATTGATGTTTGTGCCTGGTAAAGTAATGGGGTTATGCCGTTGTAAGCACTTTCTTTTCACACACACTAAAATCACACCTTGGATTCAGGTTCATCTGTCTAGTGATTTCTTACGAATCATGTATTAGATAGTAAATGATTATTTTAAAAATTATTAATAACCATTAACTAACCAACAATTCTTTAATAATAATTAATAATATTAATATAATATTTGAATAATTATTTGCTAATTATTCAAAATTAAATAATAACTTGATTGCCTTCCAAGTGACACAAATTTAGCTCTTCCTGGTCAAGGTCCCATAGTGCAGTAAATTATTTACTTTAAAATAAACTGTTCCCTGAAGGGAGATCAGTAAGAGTAGAGAAAAGAGAAGAGGGGGAGGGAGGGGAAGAGAGAAAGGGGAAGTACTGGGCAATGATATTGGCCAAATTATATTGTTATATTTTTGTGTGTGCACATACAAATACATAACAACAAATCCCACCATTACGTACGACTATAATGTGCCAATAAAAATATAGAAAAAAACCTGAAACTATCCCCTTAGAGATAAATAAGCCCTTCAAAGCACCAGTCTATTATCTTTGTAAAACACCCAATTTAAGGCTTGTGAATCAGCTGCGCTGGAGACTTACATTTTACCATATGCAAACAAAAGCTAGCATCACTTTTTGAACCTTTTTTTGTGAAAGGTTGGAATTTTAAAAAACTCATCAGGCTGGATTATGTCTTATACTTTAGTCACAAATAGTATTCATCATTTAATTAAATAAATTTAATTTAGGGCAGACCATTGAAAATTGGGTAAAGACCACTGCAGTGGAGGATAATGATTCTTAAGTAAAGCAAATGAATCCAGAATATTTTTCCTATGTAGCTATATGAATTCACCATAGTGAATCCCACCATAATTTACATCCATAAGAATGGGATCCTAGTTAGAATAAGATATATTTCATGCTTGTACAATTATATCAAAGTAAATTCTACTATCATGTATAATTTTAAAAAACAACAATAAAGGGAGGTTTCACACAGGGCTTTAGGTCAAACCCACTCACCTCCATTGGGCTGGATTTTCTCAATGTATCTCTTGGCATCTGCAACCTGTGCTTTAGTAGCTGAAACTAAATCATTTCTCCAGGTTCGAACGTTGTGATTGAAATCGACCACAGAGAATTGGTCTTCAGCTCTTAGGTCATCCAGTATGGTCTTCATTGCTTCCACAGTCTATTCCAGAAAAAGAATAAAGGGAGGGTTTACTAAATAAATCCTAAGCTTAAGAAACTAGGAGACCAATCATCGTCAACCTTCAAGACCTCACTCAATCTCAACTTCTCCAAGAAAACCTCTTTAACTCACCTCAGTCAACACAGGCCTAGTCCTTGTGTATTTATAACATGCATTTTCAATTTTAAGTATTAAAGTTTGTGAATACTTGCATCTTTACTGTCTTATTTGTTATGCACAATAAGTTTGACTAGTCCTAGTTTAAGTTAAGGATCACAAAATCACATATATTTCTCATGTCCATCTATTCCCTTTTAAACATCTATTTCTCATCTTCTTTCTCTTTGAACCAACCACATCTGCCTCTTCCTCTGTCTTAGCCTGATTCTTGCTTCACTGATAACTGAAGCAATCAGAAGAAAATTTCTATAGATTTCTACGAGTATTAAACCCAACCAGCAATATTTGTACCTTCATACTTCTCCCTCCTGCCTCGGAGCCGGAAGCAATCCTCAGTATTTCTACCAACTGCAAATTCCCCTACTGAAAACTAGATTTCTTTCTGTCTCATCTGCTGAAGACCACAGCTCCAGCAATTGCCCTTTGCCTCTTGAATCTCCCTCCTCTATCAATACACTTCCAGAAACATAAAAACATGTATTTCTCACCCCTTTAAAAACCTCATCAGCACCTGCTTTCTCCATTCATCATCTCCCCTTTCAACAAAAGGATTGTCTAACCACTCTATCTCCCGATCTTCTCTTCCCATTTTCCCTGAGCACACTCCATCCAGATGTTCATCTTCATTACTCCACCAAAGCTCTCCTTGTCAAGGTCACCAATGACCTTGATGTTGCTAAATCCAATGGACCATCCTCATTTCTCATCAGACTCATTCTATCATTGGTATTTGATCCAACCACTCACTCCCTCCTTAGAACAATTTCCTCATTTGTTATCCTCTGGGTTTTCCTCCTCCTCTCTTTACTGATTTTTTTTTATTAGTCTCCATCACTGACTTTTCCTCTTCCTCCCCAATTCTTTGATACTGGAATGCTCTGCTGTTCAACTATATGCAGAAGAACTGAAAGATGATGCAGAAAAGTGACCAGAGTGAGCAGAGGCCCTGAAGAGGGAAACTTTTCAAAGAACTGAGTTTCAAGATAATTTTTTCAAGGAAATACTGGACAATTAAAAAAAAAAAGAAAGGGAAGAGGAAGCAGAAAATAGGGAGATGGAAGAGAAATTTACAAGGAAGGAATGACTGGAGCATGTCCAGGGAACAGATGATAATCTCAAACCCTTGGGAAGAGCTCACACTCTCAGTAACAAGAGTTTCTGAGTTTTAGCCCAAAGGAAGGAGTGGAAGGGCCAATGAACTATTGCATTAAGAGGGGATCATAGAAGATAGGCAGTTCTGCCTGCCACTGTGAACAAGGGGGCACTTACTTGTTTCATCTTAATCCCCCACATTGAGCCACTAATGTCAATAACAAAAAGGATGTTTTTGGGAATTGGGTCCAGGTTCTCAGGAGCAAAGAAGTGGACAAAATATCCATTAAACACCTGCAAAATAGAACATAAATGTGAGTCAGATCATGACCAATATTGAGAAGGTAGGCACTGGGGGGTCTGAGTTCTAGAGAAGAAAGGTGGGCGACAGGAGAAGGCAGCATGGCATTCATGAAGACCAGAGCAGAGGTGACTCAGGTCATATCCATCTCCTGCTCCTGCTGCTGTTCTTCTCCCAGGAGGGTCCAAACCTTCTTGGCAGAGTTCCACTGTACAGCACTTCACTCTCAGGCCTCTGTTCCAGAGCCCTGTTAACCAACAGTGAGTCAGATGGAGCACCTGCCCTCGGGGGTTCACAGACACCAGAGGGTGCAGACAGGTGAAGACGATTTGCAGTGCAGGGTGTAAGGTGCCACGACTAGGAAATTAAAGGGCTCTGAGACTCAGATGGGGGAGCCTTTTCCAAAGAGCTGGCATGTGCCCTGAGAGCTGGGATGAGGCTGGAATTAATCCTGCATTGTGGGAGTTGGGCTGGGTTGGGGTGGAAAGTGGGGAGAAGAATTCCAGACAGTGATGGACAGAGCATGACGCACTTGGGGCTCCATTAGTGGTCCAACAAGACAGGGCCATAGATGCAAGAATCCAAGAAATTAGGTGGAGAGTCAGCAGGACAGGTCACGGAGCACCTTTATGTGCCACTTCAGAGAATTTGGATTTTTCTTGAAGTTAGTGTGAGGCAACGAGATTCTTGCCAACCTTCTTTGTCTTCTGATGACTGTCTTGCCCAGTTCTCTATCCCCTGACATCTGGTTGCATAGTTCTTAGCTGCAGCGTTTTTAGCTGTGGTTGCCAATATACTTCTCTACCCTCCAACTAGAGAAAGACTCACGACCTTTTTTATATTCCCTAGGAGTTCTTACCTTAGCACAAGCGATATAGAGACACACATCTAAGATGTGTCAAAAGGGGAAGGGAAATTTTTCAAGGAATCTCAAGATAAATATGGTCCCTAGAATTCACCATTAGCTCTGGATCTTTCTCTGGGCTTTGGTTATGCTTTCCTCCTCATCCTATAATCTTTGATCATCTAATTGCAAGTCTTGGGAGGTATCCAAAATACCCACTTTGTAATTTTCTATTATTTTTTATAGGAGGCTTGAACATAGTCTTCCTGGACTAGGGTATGACACCTGCTATGATTTGAATATGTGAAGTGTCCCCAAACAGCCATGTGTTAAAGGCTTGTCCCTTAAGGTGGCTCTACTGGGAGGTTCTGTGGACCTTTAAGAGGTGGGGGTCATATGGGAGGTCCTTAGGTCACGGAAAGGGTACTCTCCAGGAGGACTGTGAGAACCTGGTCCCTTCCTCTCCCACTCTTTTGTTTTCTGGCCATGAGGTGAACAGTTTGCTCCACTGTGCACACTGCTGTTTGCGTACACACCGCCACCAGAGGTCTAAAAGCAATGAGTCTACTTGATCATGGACTAGACCCTCCAAAATCATGAGCCAAAACAACGCTTTGCTCTTTAAAAGTTAATTATCTCCGGTATTTTGTTATAGTAGTAGAAAGCAGACTAATAAAGGCCCAGTGAACCTTTAGTCTAATGACATAAAAACAAAATAAGACAAATAATAAATAACTAAATGATTAAAGAAACAAATAAAAAACTAAGTAAAAGATAATGCTTATGGCATTTTGGAGAAGTAAGATTTTAGTCCCTTCTCTGCAGCCTCGACACTCGCCTTCATAGCTAGAAAATACCCACAGGCCGAGGAGCTCCTTGACTGGAGATTGGCAGTCCCATGGAGTCTGTCGACACTCACCTCAAGCTTGCCAGCCTTCTCTTCTCGGTTCACATCATACATCACCACCAGCTCTCCATCCACGGCGGTCTCAGAACAGTTGGAGCATTTTCTTTGCTGTGCTACTGTGGGCTTGAAGGAAATATGTGCCTAGAAGGAACAGTGACATCAGAACCGGGTTTCTTCTCCAGCCCCTTCAAGGGGAGGGCTTGACAGCTGCACCTGCTTATGCACACAGATGAGGGGCATTGCCCAGTGGCCACAGTGCACCCAGCATCGGCAGGCCTGCAACAGGTGGAAGGGACAGAGCCAGGGCTTTGGGGGGGAGTGTCTGCCCACTAGAGTTCTGTTTGCCAGGTTTCTGGCCTTTTAAAAAGACCTTCACGGAATTTCCCTCATCCACCATGGAGAAGATGGCTATCAGCTCGGGAAAGAGTTTGTGAAGGTTCTTAGAAGAAGAGTTTGACCTCTTCGTAGTTGCTTATCATTGGCCATTGAGACAGAATTAAGCTGGGGATTTCTGGCTCTGATCATGAAAACCCAAAATATATTATGTCAAAACTGTGAGAAATGAGACCTAGAAAGGGACCGTCACTGGTCAAAATGGAATGAAACAATTGGAAGTTTTGTTTGATGTACTTGAAAGAAACACCTAGACTCATTGTTCCTTCACGTAGTGCCCAAAGCCCAACACCAGACCACTTTTCGTTCTCCAGAGCACAGGAAGAGGATGGAACCCAGGAACTAGTGGCCATTTAGATGGCTGGCGACAGGCAGTGGTTATGTTACCTTCTGGGGTCCTTTAGATAAGACTGGAACACCATCGAAGTGGCCTTCAAATGTATCAGGAACATGAAGAAATTTAAGTCCCTGAGGCTCAATAATCCACACATCCACCTAAAGAAGAGAAAAAAATTGCAGCATTAAAAGTTCTTAAAGAATTTTTAAGCAAGAAGTAAAATTTCCAATGAATGCGACGATTCTTTTGCAATCTGCACGTTTTCCAAGCTGGTTCTATTATCACTTCTGAAAGTTCTTCCAGTTTCCTGGGATGGGATTCATCTCACATGGAGGCTTTGCCCCTTTGTAGCAACTCAGTATGCTTTCAATTGCCTCACTCCCCTAGGACTGATTCCCCATTGCTACAGTCAGATGTGGTTTGAGTGTGTCCCCCAAGATTCACACGCTGGAAACTTGGTCCCAAGTGTGACAGTGTTGAAGTGGTGGGACCTTTAAGAGGTGGGGCCTCCTTCGAGGTGATTAGGTGATGGGAGTCTCAGAAGGGACTGGTCTGTGGTGTTTGTTGCTGGGAGGAGTTGTTAGGAAGCAAGGTCACACCTGTGCTTTGTCTGTCTGCACACAGCTGGTTGTCTTTCTGTTTCCCTGACATGTCCTGATGCAACCAGGGGCCCTTGCTGGGATTCTGGTTGTTTGGAGCCTCCAGACACCAGCAGCACCCAAATAACCCTCTTTGCTTATAAAGTATCCAACCTCAGGTATTGCGTTTACTCACACAAAATGTAGAAATCTACCTTTATTCATTCTATTCTACTATTGTTATATATAATACCTTCACTTTGTCAGAGAAAAAGGAAAGTTATTATTAAATTAGTCTGCACTTACTCCATAGATTTGTCTAAAAAAGACAATTTTCCCTGTATCTTGGGCCTTTTTATTTCTTTTCTGTCTTCTTCTTTGAAAGAGCTCAGCAGGGAGAAATACTTTTGGTGATTCTTGACAAAACCATAGCCAAAGCTGTATTTCCAGAATGATTATTATATTTTAAGCATAGTGCAAGTCACTTCACATGTGTTGATTTATTGCACTCTCATCAATATTATTATTGTTATTATTATTTTTTATTTGATGCAGCTGATAAGTGGCAGAACCAGGCTTCCAACCCTGGGCCTGAGCTCTTAACACATTGTAAACAACTTCTTAACTTCTAACAGCCCTAGCTCCATCTATTTTTTTTTTTTTTTTTTTTTTTTTTTTTTTAGTACTGGGGATTAAACCTAGTACTTGGGGACACACTCAAACCACATCTGACTGTAGCAATGAGGAATCAGTCCTAGGGGAATGAGGTAATTGAAAGCATACTGAGTTGCCTTACCACCTAGGTTACATCCTCAGTCCTAAGTTCTTATTTTTTATTTTGTGACAGGATCTGGCAAAGTTTCTGAGGCTGACCTTGAACTTGCAATGCTCCTGCCCCAGCCTCCCAGATGCTGGCATTACACCTGTGTTCACTGCAGCTGGCCCCAAGTCTACCTTTCAATCAACATTGCTGCATTATTCTTTAGGCCCCTGTGTTACACCATTCTATTTCTTCTTCTTTTTCTTTTTTTTTTTTCATGAGTAGCCTCCATCTTTTATATACATACACTCACTCATTGAGATGTGAAGTCATCAGGCAGTGCCTGGTACGCACATTGCTTTACTTACTACCTCTTTCTCATTTGGGATCATTTGCAAAAGCAAAGAACTACTTCCCTTTGGAAGTCCTTACTTTGGAACCATGTCTGCTTTTCTTCTCTCAAAAAAATTGTTTTCTAAAATGTGCTTTCCTACTCAGGGAAATGCACATCAAAACTACATTGAGATTTCCTCTCACTCCCGTTAGAGTGGCAACCATCAAGAATATGAACAATAATAAATGCTGGGGGTTGGGGTTTTGGCTCTGTGTTTGAGCATTTGTCTAGCACATGTGAGGCCCTAGGTTCAATCCTAAGCACTGCATAAAAATAACTAACTAAATAAATTGATTAATTAATTAAAGGTATTGTATCTGTCTACGACTAAAAAAGTTTAAACAATAATAATATATGTGAGAGAGGATATGAAGAAAAAGGAACACTGTTGGGGGATTGTAAATTAGTACAACCATATGGAAATCAATATAGAGGTTCTGCTAAAGATTAGGATTGAAACCATCAGATGACTCAGTTATGACACCCCTTGGTATTTATCCTGAAGAATCAAAGTCATCATACTAAGAGATACATGCATACCCATGTTAATAACAGCACAATTCACAATAGCCAAACTATGGAACCTGTCTAGGTTTCCAACAATGGCTGAATGGATAAAGAAAATGTGGTATATATACACACAATGGAGTTTTATTCGGTCATAAAAAAATGAAATTATGTCAATTGCAGGAAAATGGATGGAACTAAAGACCATGATATTAAGCAAAATAAGTCAAGCTCAGAAGGTCAAGAGTCATATAATTTCTCTCATGTGTGGAAATTAGAGAGGAAAAAGGAAAAGGTTGTGTGATGAAACCCCAGGGGGGATCTATAGAGGAAATGAACGAAGAGGAGGCAGAGGGGAAATGCTGGTGAGTGACACTGACCAAATTATTTCGTTATATTGTGTGCATGCAAGAGCATGTAACAACAAACCATAGCATTATGTACAACTATAGTGTACCAATAAAAATATGGGAAAAAATTGCTTTCCTAAAGTCATGGAAACCAGTGTGAGCAGTTTCAATATTTTCTTTCTTGCTTATTACAAATAAGGTGTGAACTTAGCTTATTGCCTCCAAAAAAATCAACTGGTTCTACATGTTGGCATGAGCCATCTAGCGGAATCAGGGGGACCAGATGGCTCAGGACAGTCTGAGTGGCCATCACTGGTAGATAATGGAGAAGCTCTTGGGGAAAAGGGGGAAAAGTCCAGGGAAGTTGCAGAGAACTGGGGCCTCTGCTTTATTCTTCCATAAGTTCCTATCTATAATAGAACCTGGGTTACTCTGCATTAAGAAATGACAAAATCATAGAATTTGGAGGGAAATGGATGGCATTAGAGCAGATTATGAAAGCGAAGCTAGCCAAGCCCTAAAAAACAAATGCCAAATGTCTTCTTTGATATAAGGAGAGTAATTAAGAACAGACTAGGGAAGAAGAGCACAAGAAGAAGACCATCATTAAACAGGGTTGAGAGGTGGGAGGGAAAGGGAGAGAGAAGGGAAATAGCATGGAAATGGAACGAGACCCTCAGGGTTATACAAAATTACATACAAGAGGAAGTGAGGGGAAAGGGAAAAATAATACAAGGGGGAGGAATGAATTACAGTAGGGGGGGTAGAGAGAGAAGAGGGGAGGGGAGGGGAGGGGAGGGGGGATAGTAGAGGATAGGAAAGGCAGCAGAATACAACAGACACTAGGATGGCAATATGTAAAGCAATGGAAGTGAAACTGATGTGATTCTGCAAGCTGTATAAGGGGTAATATGGGAGTGCATAACCCACTTGAATCAAAATGTGAAATATGATATATCAAGAACTATGTAATGGAGGGGTAAGACAAGATAATACAAATGGAAGAAATGATTTACAGTAGAAGGGGTAGAGAGAGAAAAGGGGAGGGGAGGGGAGGGGAGGGGGGATAGTAGAGAATAGGACTGACAGCAGAATACATCAGACACTAGAAAGGCAATATGTCAATCAATGGAAGGGTAACTGATGTGATACAGCAATCTGTATACGGGGTAAAGTTGGGAGTTCATAACCCGCTTGAATCAAACTGTGAAATATGATGTATTAAGAACTGTGTAAGGTTTTGAACGACCAACAATAAAAAAAATAAATAAATTAAAAAAAAAAAAAAAGAACCTGGGGCCCTCAGGACAAGGCTAGCTCTCTCCATGAGAGGAAGGGAAATGGAAGGAGGACTTTCTCCTAGGATTGCAGAAATGCTTAGCAAGCCTGTGTCCCACTTGATGTAGACACAGCTCTAAAATCTAATAGGACCACTAGGCCACTGAGCACTGGGGGTATGTGTCTGAGGCCCTATGACTGGTTCTGCTGAGAGGACCAGCCCGTGGTGATCCTGAATCACGCATCATATTTATTGGTCTCACTCTAAGGAACCAAGTGTTGGAATAAAACCATTCCCCAAATTTGATACACCAATAGAGTTGAGTTTTTTGTTTGTTTGTTTTTTGTTTTTGTTTTTGTTTTTTTTAAAGAGAAATCTTATCCTCTTTGATTTCTGTGGGGAAATGCATTTCCAGTTCAGTGGCCCTTCTGATGGTGATTGGAACAGCTCTTCTGGAATCCAGACTAGGAGAAGGTCTGTCATCTTTGTTTTCTCCTTAGCTTATCTCTGGATAAGATTAAATCTCTTGGGAAATGGACAAGGTCATAGAATGTTAGAGCTGGAAAGTACCTTAAATATCATCTAGTCTAACCCTCTTGTATCACAGATGACAAAATAAAGGCCAGAGAATTCTGAGTTAAATTAACTTAAAGCCCAGATCCCACATCTAGTTAGTGCCTGCCTATTTGGGGCCAGAAATCAGTCAACTTGCCTCTGTAAAACTCTTTCTAATATAGCAAACCCTCTCTGTCTCATCTTAAAAGGGAGGAATTCCTCAGAGCATAGAAAATTTAAGAGTGAATAAAAATTCCAAAAATGTAAGAATTTTTTATGTGCTACTTGATATATGCTTTAAGAATCATTATCTGCATGGAATCAAACTTAAAATCTTAAATTTTGGGATTTATAGCATAGAATGCAGTTAACTTTTTCTTAGCTCTGTGACCTTAGGCAAGTTATTCATCTGAATCTCCGTTTCCTTATCTGTAAATGAAGGGTAATGACATTTCTCTCATAAATTGTGGTGAGGATTTAAAGACAGCAGAGGTCTAAATACCTTCCCCCAAATATTATAGAGGACATGTGTTTTCGTATCATTTACATAGTTGTTTGTTAATATAATTTTTATTATTAACAATCTCCAGGCGTGGTGGCACAGGCCTGTTATTCCCAGCGGCTCGTGAGGCTGAGGCAGGAGGATCGAGAGTTTAAAGCCAGCCGCAGCAATGGCAAGGCACTAAACAACTCAGTGAGACTCTGTCTCTAAATAGAATACAAAATAGGGTTGGGGATATGACTCAGTGGTTGAGGGTCCCTGAGTTCAATCCCCAGTACCAAAAAAAAAACCAAAACAAAAACCCAACAACCTCAACAATGGCCTCATTAGTGGCTTGGTGCTTATCAGACGTTAAGTGCTGCCTGATAGTATTTCTGTGAGATTCTTAGTGTTGAGTAAAAGAATGTAGGTGATGGGCTCACATCTATGTCCCTACTGGAAAAATAATCAGGATCACACATTAGTTGGGTAGGCCATCCTGACACCTGCTTGCCAAGTCACATGCCCTGGCATACTGCTGCTTTTGCCTGGAGGAATAGGCATCTTCTTCTAATTTTCCCCAAATCATTGTCACACGCCCTGATAGGGAGCTGAGAGCAAACTGTGAATATTGTTTATCAGATATGCAGATTTCCAAATTAAGATCAAAATTTCACCACAATGAATTCCTCGCCTTTTATCTCCTATGTGTATGGGGCAATTTGCAACCTGTTGGCTTCACTTTCCCATCTGTCAAGGGGAAACATGTGTTGTGCCCTCTCCTAGGTCTCCTCTTACATCACTGCCTCTCACATCAAATGTTCATATGATGTCACAGAGAATTAAGCAAAGAAAAGAGCATTTCCATTTTTAAAGCAAAGTCAAGTTCAAGGCCTGGCTCTCTTGAGATGATGGCATTGAGGGGAGAGGGGGAGACAACATTCACTGAGCTACTATTTCCATGAATTCATCTAGCTTACAATTATTTCCACCTACTTTTGTAAGTTTATCTCACTTGTAACTAAGAAATGCAAGTATGTTCTCTCAGCCTTTTTAAATATGAAAGAGCGGAGACTCAGGATAACTTGACCATGAAGATCATGGTACGGGTTTCAGGGCAGCCTCCATGAAAGATATGCTACCTCAAACCCCCAAAACCTGTGAATGTGGCTTATTTGCAAAATGGTTTTTACGGATGCTGTTAAGTTAAGGATCTTGAGGTGAGATGATTTTGTTCTACCCGGTGAGCCCTAAATCCAATGACAAGTGTTCTTATAAGAAAAAGGTAGAGGGAGACTTGAGATGCCCAGAGGAGAAAGTGAATATGACCTTGGGGAAGAAATTCAGAGTGTCATGGCCACAGGTCACAAGTCAAGAAATGTTAGCAGCTGCAAACACCAGAAGAAGCAAGGAGTAGAATTTCCCCAGAGCCTCCAGAGGGAGTGTAACTCTGCTGACACCTTCATCTCAGACTCCTGTCCTCCAGGAGTGGAGAGAGTACACTTCTGTTATTTCAGGCCACACAATTTGTGGTGATTTGTTACAGCACCCTTAAAAACTAATACAGCTACAAAGCAGCTGAGCTGCTTTCAAAATCTATCAGGCATTGGTGTGGCTGATTCCAAGCTCAAATCTTTTTGGCACACCACAGTGTACTGCAGAGCCAAATGCACCAAATACAAGAGGAGTGACGAAAGTTTAAGTCATGAGAGAAGGCACTTGCCACCAGCCCCGCTCACCTCCAGGTGTTTGGCCAGTCGTCCAGGCTGCAGATAAAGCCTGTGCTCATAGGATCCCAGCTTCCTCCAATTCACTTCTTGGTAATGAAGTTCAAACTGCACCTTGACTCCAGGGAGGACGTTTACTTCCGTTTTGAAGTTCTCCATATCAACAGCTCTGCTCCTAAATGCAGGAGCCCCCAAACATAAGTCATCACGCACGTGATTGAACTGTGAGGCCCAGAATCTAGCCAGCAGGCATCTAGTCTTGTCCTGGGAGATCAGACCTGCTCAGTTGCTTATGAAATGGGTATGAAAGAGAAAAGTGCAACTTCTGGATAAATTTAATCCTACCAAGCATTTCCATTTCCTCTCCTTTCCTCCCTGATCTGTGGCTTCTAGAACTTCTGATGTGAATTTGTTTGCCAAGTAACCCTCGCCTGTGCCAGGAACTTGACGTATTTCATCTCTGACACAGCAGGTCTGCAACTTACCCTCATTTTTTAGATGATAAAAAGTGAGGCTCATGTAGATAGGTAATCTACTCAGGATCCCACAGCTGGTCAACTGTAGCTCCAAGACTCAAACCCAAGTTTAGTTGCCTCCAGAGACAGCGAATATTTCCTACAATGCATTTCAAGACCTATTCTAGGAATTCTTTATATTTTTGAAGGTATTCAAGGAAAATTATTTTATCAAATTGAATACATACTTTCGGTATAAGGTGTGCTGTGTATTTAGTCACCGAACATATTGAGTTCTATGTGATCATTGATCTTGAAGTGTTTATGGTTTTAAGGAATAAACATCAGAATTATCCAGCGAGGATGATTCCAATATCAGAATTAACAACAAATGACTTTCTCTCTCTCTCTCTCTCTCTCTCTCTCTCTAACTGGAGAGTGCTCTACCATTGAGCTATGCCAACCCATTTTATTTTGAGTCAGGCTTGTGCTAAATTGCTGAGCCAGCCTCAAACTTACAATCCTCCTGCCTCAGCCTCCTGAATCACCAGGATTACAGGAGTGGACCACCATTCCTTGTAACAATGAATGGCTTTTAAACAAGGTGAACTTATGCATAATCAGCACATTTAGTTTCAGGGAAGTACTGAAGGCAGTCAGCTTGGGATACTGGGTAGTGGAAGAAAAAGGCAAACATGGTCTAGTGCAAAGCTTTGAGGCAGAATATGTTGGAAGAGGCCATATTTATCTGAGAAATGGATTAGAAGGAGAGCTCTATGTTCTCCGCTGAATCTCGAGTATGTGGGATGAATAAATGAATGGATGATGTCGTCTATGTGCAAAGCTGGCAAAGTGATTCATGAAGTCAAAGAACTAATTAACCCACAGGGAAGCTGGATATGTTCCCTGTCTTCAAATTTCTTCTCTCCTTTCTCTTCCTGGCTGAATTGCATGTATCTGTTTGGGCTCGGCTGTAACATCAGTCTCTGAACATTTTCTGGACCCTCCAAACAGAATTGCATGCTTGGTACTCAGGATCCCCCCTACATCAGCATTGCCCATCATCCACAGGATAGCCACTCTCCTTGTCTGTCTCTTCCACAAGCCTGACAGTGTTTGTTTTTGAGTTACTGCTGCTTCTAGCAGAGCTGGGTACAGAGTTGACACTGGATGCTTTTTTTTTTTCTGAATAAACAAATGCATGAGTGACATGAAAGAATTTCAACTGGAGGTACATTTAGGAACGAAGAAGAGTAAATGAAGATGAAAACAATGTGGCAGAGAGGTATGCAGTGTAAAGAGTGATACGTTGAAGATTCCTTTGGAGCTGTTTGCTTGAAAGGTTGCTTTTTTGAAGTGATTTGGCATAACCAGTGTCTTATGTAAGACTACAGAGGGGAAAAAAATATCCCCAGAATCTAAGCTTAATTCTTGACGCTCTAAAGGGCTCTATGCTGTAAACATAAGGCAGAAAAATCATTAAAACCAATTCTAAAATTTTCCTTTTGTACATACAGTAAGTTTTGTTAATAAAATCATCAATACATATAGTTCCTTTCTGCACTCTTTAGCAAAGAAAAAAAGACAGTACTGCACTCTGCTGTCATATATACCTAATTAAAATTAAAAAATAAATTTATTTTAAAAAACAGTGTTGATTTATAGAGTATCTATATAAGACAATCAATATAAGCACAACCTAAGTGAGATCTCCCAAATCTTATAGGTGGAAGAGAGGCCTGCAGGGAAATAGAAATTGTGCTGTCTAATTTTACCATCTAACTTTTAGAGTTTTGTCTGTTTAATCTGGTGCCTTTCTGAAGGATGGTTGGCCTTGGGGAAACGGGATGGGAGAGGAAGCACCGTGGCACAGTCCTCACCTCACCAGTCCAGCCGTCTTGCCTTTTGCTCTCGCCTGAGCGTAGAGAGCTCGGCCCACAGTTTTCTCCTTAATGGAACTGGTGAACGTCGTGCCATCTACAGTCCTAGAAAATGACAGGAGGCAATGAGTTGATCAGTGTAGTAGTCTTAGCAAAACTAACAAACAACAAGCAACCCATTTATTAAGGTTGATTTAGTGAATGTGGGAAATGATCATTTTGTATCTATAAGAAACAAGAAGAGAGAGATTTGAGTCACTCCCTTTATCTTGTGAGGGGCTAGCTAACACTCACCCTAAAGCTTTTCCTTCATGTACTGTTGTTTGGGTTTGAACTTTTTCATAGCCACATTTTATCCTCCAGATGAAGCATTGCTCTCTTTGGAAGTGTCTTCCAAATGAGCGACAAATGTGACTAGGAGAGATGACTGATAAATCGCTAATTATCCGACATACATTTGGTTCATCAGATCATTCTTCTGGGAGTTAAGAATTAGGAAATCCTGGGGGTTTGCAATGAACTGGAATATTTATGTCCCACCAAAACTCACAGGTTGATCCCACCTCTCAATAAGATGATGCTAAACAGTGAGTCCTTTAAGAGATCATTAGATCCTAAGAGTGAAGCCCTCATGAATAGGATTAGGGCCCTCATAAAAGAGAACCTCAAGAGTTCTCTTGCCCTTTTCTACCATGTGAGAACAGCAAAGAGATGGCCATCTATTGTTAGAGTCTGTAAACAATTCAAGATGGCGCCTGGCATTTTGCAGAGGGAGTGGTTTGTGAAGTAATGCGATCGAGCCATTAAGTGTGGAGATTCCTTATTGGTTGACTGCTGTATCTAGTTTATGTTAATTAAGATAAGCTGTGTATAATGTATATATACCCCTCCTGTCCTACAATAAACGGCTCCCACTCCTGCTGCATCAACCTTCACAAGTTTCTCGTCACCTCCCCCCCACCCCCGTTAGTTTGCCCAGCCAGCTGGGCTGCGGCAATCTATGAATCAGGAAGTAAATCTTCTCTAGGCATGTAATCTGCCATTGTCTTGAATCTTAGATTTTGCTGTCTCTAAAACTATGAGAAGTTTTTGTTGTTTAAGTCCACCAAGTCTATGTTACTTTGTTAAAGCAATGCTAGCTGCTTTCTTGCAAACGGTGGAAAAGATTACAAAAAGATGGAGGAAGGTGCAGGCAAATCCTTCACAAAGTTTGTGTTTGTCTCTCTAACATCTCCCTTGGGGATCTCTGCCTTCTGTTTGCATCCCTGTCTCTATCCATCTTTTAGCTGGCTAGTGCCTAATTCTTGCCAAGTAATGGTTGGTTAGAGGAGTAGAATTACAGAATTTTAAGAGCAAATGGGAACTTTAGAGCACTTAAATGGTCAGTTTTTTCCCAAGGAGGCATTTAGAAATGTGTGGAAAAGTTTCTGATTGTTATGGTGACTGGAATGTGCTCTGGCATTTATTGGAGGAGACCAAGAACACCAGACAGCCTATGATGTGTGACACAGCTGAAGAACTTTCTGCCCTACATTTCTAGTTCTTCCCCTTTAGATGGGAGAAATCAGATCCAAGGTGACAAGGAGCATACTCAAGGTCCCACAGCCAGTCAGAACCAAAGTGAGATGAGAATCCACAAGTCTAGGCCAGTGCTCTCCCACCACATTGCAGTGAAGCTCAAAACCCTGAGAGGTCTTCAAGGCAAAGAGACCTCTCTTCCAGAGCAGACTATTCGGGCCTTTGATAAAAGAGTAGAAGACATGTTTTGGCTGGTATGAACTCATTTTAAACAGTGATGGTGAAACAGCTATTTTCCCAGGTCTTATAAATTCAGCTTTGAACAGAGGGGATTAAAATAAATGTACATTTCACAATTCTGTCTTGTCACTTCAAATATTTTACGGGATGAGAAGAGGAAGAAGAAAAAAAAAGAATGAAGGGAAAGAGAAGAGAAAACTAGAATGAGTTCCGATTATGTGGTTTAAACATAGGAATGTATTTAAATAGTTTTAAATGTGATTTCTAGACATGGTGTCATATAATACCACTACCAAAAGCTTCCTCCTTCCCTTTGCCTTCTAGGGATGGCTGACTTAAAAAAAAAAAAAAGTTGTAAATTTTTAAGCCAACCATCAAAGGGCACCAATTCACATAATTCTTTTTTTCCCTCCTATTTTCTTTTTCTTGAAAATACAATTAACATGAATCTGCAGTTTTTGACAGCCACAATACTTACTAATTGAACTCTTTGTTCATTCACAATTATCAATGATTAAATCTTGGTTTATGAAAGACAAAGCAAATGAGAAGTGACGTAATGCCTTAATGAGAAAATAGACCACACACAGGTCTGTTCCAGAGGGAATAGGGGGAGCTGACCAGGGGGAGCATTCTCTGGGGATGGTCATCTGAATGTGCAGGGAGAGGATAGAAAGTCATATCCAACGAGGTAACTGGCCTTAACTTTTTAAAAGATATTGGTGTAGTTCAAATTGTTTTAATTATGGAAATTTTCAAATATATGAAAAATTGAGAGGAAAAAATATGATCCATCTCCATGAAACCATCACCCAGCTACACCAATATCAATACCCTGCCAATCTTAATTCATCTATACTCCCACACTTTCCACCTCAACTATTTTGAAGCCAATCTCAGACAGCATATCATTTCACCCATGAGCACTTCAAAATATATTTTGTAGAGAATTTTTAAAAAATTCTATGTGTGTAGCCCTAGAGTCATTGGGTAGAAAATGGAAAATATTTAAATTAAGTATAAGAAATCATTATAACAGAGCTGTCAACCATTGAGTTGATTGCCTTGGGAAGTGGTGAGTTTATCATTAAGGAAAGAGTCAAGTAAAGCCCAGATAACCCACTTGTCAGTGATATAATGGAGGAATTCTAGCACCGAATAAATGATTGGATTTAATCAGCAGTTCTCAACTATTTTTTTTCCTCATAGAGACACATATGGCAGATGACACTGATTTATGGCTCACATACTCATATGTGGTTTCCTACAAGTAAGGACAACTCCATATGTGTTTCTTCTCCAAAGAAAGCATATTAAAATGCAAGTAAGTGGATGTCGTTGCCGTAGAGATAACCTGAAGTTTGCTTTAATTCATTAGAAATAAAAGCAAATCCTTCACAAATTCTGATACTTTGGACAGGAATGAATTGTTGAGATCCACCCCACAAGGACTCTCAACATCCAGCAGATCCACAGCTCAGAAAGCAGAAACCTCCAGAAGAGTTACATTTTAACTAGGAGGGCTTTTGAACCATGCAATATCTGGCTCTTCCCAGAAGTACTCACATGGTAAAGTTGGAGATAAAGGCTCCTTTGGGAATCTGAACATCAAACACAACATTCTGAGGCTGCGGGGAGTTGTTCACCAGCTTGCTCTGGATGATGGTATTGGCCATACGAGAAGTAATGGTGGACTGGACTTTATAGCTATAAAGAGTTACTTGATCAACATTCTCCTGAAATGGTCAAGAAGGTGTCACAGTAAAATCACTCTGAATGGAACTATGTATATACCATGACCAGCAGTATATTTTATTTGTTATGACCAGTTCTAGAGCATTCGTAAATATATAACTTTGCAGCTGTTAAGCAGTCTCCTAACTTCTCAGAGCATCCCACAAGAGGAAGTTGGCCTTTGTTTTGAGATATTTTCCCATGCTGTTTAGCTCTCTGAGTTTATGACTTTTTTAAAATCCAAGTAGAAAATGGTTGTGGGAGCAAAATTGGATTGAAAAAGTCCAGGAAATAACTTCAAAGAACATAGTTAGTGAAAGGAGGCAGGATCTCAAGGTTGGAAGGAGGTCCTGGCTATGCCTTCAGAATGGGATATAATCAGGGTGGTATGGGCTGAAGGGCATGCAGCAGCCTCCAATGCTGCTACATGTCTTTTTTGGTATCATCTATTATGATTTCCTAGTCAGTTCTCATATTTTCCCTCAAAATAAAACTTTGAGAACAATAAATCATTGAGAACAATGTCAGGTGTGGGTGGTGAGTAGAATATCACGGATAGGGAATTTTGATGCAATTATTGGTCCAAAACCCATCCTTCTACCCATAAATGGATATATATCTGTGGTAGCCCTGATGTAAAAATCACTGTATGTCAGTGTGCAAACCTTGGCAAAGACACGGCCAGTATGCGACACATTAGATTTTGCTTTTAACTCCAAGACGAGTTATTTATTTCAAACTTAGGTTTCGACACCCAACCTTTATTAAAGATTAAACCTGTAATTAGTTAACACCCAGTTCACCTCAAGCTAAGATAAAAATCCAGACTGATTTCCTTGCTTTTCTGGCCATACAGAGGTCTACTTTGACCATCTCAGGGAACTGGGACATTTCATGTCTAAGAGTTCCTTCCCATGGCCACTCTTTTATTCTCCAAAGCTGTCAGATGTCATGTTTTTAAAATCAAAACTGTTAAGTAGCAATAAATGCATATGGTAGGATGAAACTTATGTTTTTGGTGAAACTTTAGAAAATAAAGAACACTTTCATTCCTTGGTAGCAACTGTCCTGTCTACAAATACTGGACACTCTAGTGCAGAATTTTGGAAAGATTTACAAACAGAATTGGGCAAAGGGGTATTTCAAAATTCAGGTCAATACTCTCAGTGACAAAGACCAAGGAGACACCTGGCTTGATTTCCAGATAATGGTTAACAGGAAAATCATTCACACATCAACTTATAACAAAATCAAAGCAAACTTACCATCACTTCTCCGGATTCTCCAGAAAGGCTTCTCTGTGGAAGGAAGTTAGATAATCATCCTTCAACTGCATGGCATTTATTATCTCAAGGGCAAAACGGGTCTCTCCGTCAAAAACATTTTTTCCCCTTCAGTACTAAGCTGTAGTTCCTTCATTAGAGCTGAGACATGAATCTCAAATATTCTCAGAAACTCTTTTCCCACTGGTGAGTTTCTCTGAACAAGTTTCTCAGCCATTTTTGGTTGCGGGCACACCTCTCTGTGACATAATGCTAAAATGAATATTTTTAAGTGAAAATGTCCAGCCAGACTTATCCTGAGCAGCATAGATTTTCTTCACTCTGTCTGGTTTGCTTTTTCTTCAATTGAGTGGTGATTGGGGTGCTCCATTCTGCCTTGGGACTTTGGACACTCTGTTCCCACTGTCAAAAACACTCTTGCTGCCAGTCCCCCTCCATCTGCAATGCCCCCAGCCCTCCATAATAACATCCTAGCCATCCTTCCCATCTCAGCTTTGGCAGAATTTTCTTTGAAATTCTCTAACCATGCACCCCCCCCCAATGAGTCAGGTAAGTATTTTCCAAGGAGCTCTTTCCTACACTCACAACATCTATCTCTTATCCATTTCATATGAGGGGTCAGTTTCCTAGGTTCTGTCTCCTTCTAAACTAAGCTACATGCCAGCAGGGACTTTGATGTACTTCCTCCATGATTAGCCTTGAAACCAAACACAGTGACTGGCACCTGGAAACTTTTGTGCTCTCAACATCGTGCTATGGGGTTCTTCCCATGAGTAACCGTCCCGCGCCATGGAAATCACCTTGCCTTTGAAAGGCGAATGGCTTAGGATTGATGGGTGGAAATTGAATACCTGATGGGTTGTAAAATAAGACAAGTTTTGGATGTAAGCTCAGCTTGCCTGATTTGGGTTGAACCCAGGCTTTAGCAGGTGCTATATGACACGGTGAAGTCAACAGTTGCTTTCTTTCAGACTTTTTGAATGGAAACTTTGATGATTACGTTTTCTCCCCCATGGCTAAATGAAGTCTCGCTGGTTGGGTTTTAATATCATTGATCTACAAAAAAAACCTGGACTTTAGAAATGTCAAACATTGATACCCACACAAACTAAGTCATCATTCAGCTTAGTGTTGCTTCCATAAAAAACCTTCTTTCTTAGCAGTGGGCTCTGTGTGGGAAAAGCCAAATCCTTCCTAGCATTGCCGAGCTCACCCCCATTAATTAGAGGATTTTATCTAGGCTGCCTCTGTGGCCTCCAGCGTGATATTTCTCCTTCCATGGTACTCTCTGCGCAGCTTCCCATGGCAGAGTGACCAGAGGAAGGAGAACGTGTGGTCACAACGGGAATTAAGAAAATCCTTCCTAAGAGGCACTTCTAATAAGGCAATAAGATCTTTCCAGAATCTTTAATTTTGAGGAAAACTCACAGCCATGTATTCTTTAGGAAACTAAGGGGATCGTTATGACTGACGGCCCCTGGAGAGCTATATGGAGGTCTCACTTTATTTAACCTTGACAGTGTTTCCACCTAGGTGCAAAACCACTAAACTGACTAAGAAGTGAGATCTTGAGAAAATCTAGCCAGAGGCACCATCGTACCTGTTTCACCTCTCCACCCATGAGCTCTTTCTCCTATTTTCCCTTTGGAAGTAAAGCTTACTGTACCTGATACCTCCGGTTCTCTGGCACAAATTGAAATTTTCCTGGGGCCAGTTCCACCAGATCACCATATTCTGCAAACTTAAAAAAAGAATTTAGGATGTTTATATCTATTAAAAATATCTAGAGCAATAGAGGAAGCTAAAGCAGTCATAATATTATTTCATATTCCTTTTCCTCTGCCTCTGGACCATCTCATTATTTTACACCATGATTTTTTTTTCAATCTATTTCGTTTTCTTGTTTGGTCTCAGAGGTGAGTAAAAGGAAATTAACATCTATAAATTTGTTGGAGGTGGGACTTCATTTTTTAGTTTGTGTGGAGATGATGGGACAGACATGTAATGGCCAAAGTGACCTAGTGATTAGGTGGGTACTCGGGGAAGTATTTGGGTAGACCTGGGGGCCTGATGGGCTAGACAGATATGATCAATTCGTCTTCCTGAGTTAAAAATGTAGGTAGGAAAGGAAAGCCAGTTTTAGAAATGACTGAAAAATCACAAACGCATTTGGGTGTCTTGACTTCAGTTAAAGATTTCTAACACATTTGATGGTTTTCAAAGTGTTAGAAAATGCAATGATTTCTAAGCAGAGCAATCTCCCCCTGCAAATACGCCATCGTATTCTTCTTCAAGCAAGACCTCTGCATTTGCTAGGATAGTCCCATAACACATTTTGCTTTTCTGGCATCACAGTAACTCCTACATGAATTTCAGAAAGATTCAGTTCAAGACTTTCCTTACATGAGATGACCAAGGATCCCGAGTAAAGACCTTGAATCCATGGGAATTATTCCTGCACTTTGCCAGCTCACTTTCCATATTCCCTTTTAATAGGAAAGCTTAAAGAGTCCTTACACAAAAATCATAGTTCACTTAGTACAAAAAGCAATGGTGCTTTGATAATGACTCCTAGGGAAAACAGTGATAATAACATTTCTTAATAGTAATAGCTAATAATTGTTAACACTTGCTAGTTCATGCACTGTGGCAGGTAGCTTACACACGGCATTGAATTCTATACCAATCTTTTGGCCTTTTTAGATAGGGAACTACAGGCTCTGCTCCATAACTGCTACACAATGATGCCTGACCACTGAACTTGACTTATTTCTCATGCAAAACCCACTAATGCTTTTTTTTTTTATAACCCATTATACCTTTAAGAAGTATAATGCAGTAATTATAATGGTAAACGCTTGTACTCTGATGATTGTTCTACAAATTTCCTTTCTACACAGAGCAAGATCATTGAATAGCCATTGCAATCCGCTGTTTACGTTCAGAACAGCAACAAGGAGCCCTCTAGATGTACTTACTTCAGGAAGTCCATTTATGGGGATCTCAAAGGCTTGTGTTTCCAAAAGAAATAACCAGATGAGAAAGCACGTGAGTCCTTTCATTTTGCCGGACTGCTTTGCCAAGCTCTCCAGAGCAGATGGCCTAGAGAGAATTCCACTCCTTCGTCCTGAATCAAGTTCAAAGGAACAACAGAGGCTCACAGTTCCTGTCAAAAATAAAAGGAGAAAGAGAAGGAAGCTCTCTAACTGTGCTCAAAATCGGGACAAATATTTGTTTGGGAGCTCCAACTTGACTGTGGGGGTTGAAAGACATGCAGAGGTTATCCAAACAGCAAAGCCCAGAAGCAGTTGCTGGGCCATGGGACAAGTCAGGGTCAGGCTCGGGGTCAGATTTTTTTTTTCTTTTGCTGACTTCTATTGATAAAGGCAGAGAAACCTAAAGATAATTTCCATCTTATTTAAGGGACCCAATTAGGAACTATACCAAGAGATAGATCCAGAGAGAAAAGTAAAAGTGAAAAGTTTCTGAAAACAAAATTCTTTCACTTAGATTAACACAGGAGAAGAAAAAAAAAAAGCTATGGGAGAAACACAATGGTTTTCTGAGCAGAGAATTCATAGTTAATGTTTTCCCCCTCTCTGATACTGAATACCTATTATATATAAAAAACTGAGCAAGGTGATACAGATATTAAGACTCTTCAGGGTAAGTGTCTTCCATAAAGCTAAGTGTCCATTCTTCCTGCCCCTTGATCATGACTTTCCAGGTGGCACTAGGAGTTGGTGCCATCATTCTGGTGAGTCATACAGTAAAAATATCAACTAGGAACTTTAAAATTATCACCACATTATTTTAACATGGGAAACGAATGCCCAGGAAATAATACAAAAAGAAAAAAAATGTATGGAAAAGTTTGTATCCGTGAAAGATAGACACAAGCACATTGACAAATGGCTAAGCAAATAATTGAGTTAGTTTATGAATCAGTTCGTGTGCCAGAAACATCGATGGAGACTCATTACATGCACTAGGAGCTGAATACATAAAAGTGAATCGCAAGGAGTGACCTGCCAGTGTCCCCATATAGTCGTGGAGAAGGATGGACAGTTCACCAGGATGAGGGATAATGAGAGCCATGTCCGGTGTACAGTTGCCACAAGGAAAGTGGGCTACACTCACTCGGAGAGATGTAGGCATGTTCACAGGGCAGACAGGGTGTCATCTGTCAGGTCTGGAAAGATGGGTGGGGTGTCTCCAGGCTGATGGCAGAGGCTCTCACTCAGGGCGTGAGATGAGAGTGCAGGGCTGGCGGGACACCCAGGGAAACAGAGGTAGGTTGGTATGGCCGGAGTTGGAGGGAGGGCGAAGGGAGCTGGCAGAGGGGTAGAGGGCCACAGAGCACGGAATACAGCCATCCAGGGCAACCTGAACTCTGCACTCTAGGCAGTGGGAACTCAGGACTGGAAGGGGAGAAGCCTGACAGACAAGCACTCATATTGTATACAGATCACAGTGGGTTCAGCTCAGGTGATGGAAGAGGCAGGAGAAGCAGCCAAGAAACTATTTAAGAGACGCTGACAGTCCTGTTGAGCTAGCATAAGGCCCTAGACGAAGGCCGTGGAGTGAGGATGGCTTGAGATGATGGGTTCACGTGGTGTTCACATCAAATACCAGGTGTTAGTGGAAAAAGCAAGTACTTACTTTTGATATATAGATGTGTAGGTGCAGACTGTTGCTAAGTAATGATAGCAGCGTGCAGATCAATGAGGGCAGACGTTTACAGCTGTAAGAAAAATATGCAGATTGGCAAATAACCAAGAACTCGTGGTGATGAAGATGCTGTCCGGGTGGTGGGCTCATGGGCACTTTGTGCCTTCTTCTTCAAGGTGGTGGCTAAGGCCACTGGGTTTAGGAGTTGGTCATCAGAGGTTCATGGTCCTGCTCCTTCTGCTTACTAGTTGTAAGAATCCAGTGGTCTCCTTCATCTCTGAGAGCCTTATTTGTGCAATGAGAATGATCTCCCATTGCTGTGGACTGAATTGTTCCCTTCCCAAACTTTTTTGCTGAGGCCATAACTCCCAGTGTGGTTATATTTGGAGTAAAGAGGTAATTAAAGGCTAGGGTTGTGGCTCAGCGGTGGAGTGCTTGCCTCACATGCCTAGGGAACTAGGTTCGATCTTCAGCAACACATAAATAAAATAAAGGAATTGTATCCATCTACAACTAAAAATTTTTTTTAAAAAGAAGTAATTAAGGTTAAATGGGGTCAAAGTGTGAGCCTTCATTTGATTAATGTGCTCATGAGACACCAGAACACATACACACACACGTTTTTTTCTCTCTTTCTTTCTTTATGTAGTATGAGGACATAATGAGAAGGCAGTGGTCTACAAATCAGGAGAGAGCCCGAATTAGAAATGAAACTGGCTGGCACTTGGATCTTGCCTAATCTTGGACTTCCCAGTCTCCAGAACTGTAAGAAAATAAATTTCTGTTGTTTGAGCCACTCAGTCTGTGGTTTTGTGTTACAGCAGCCTGAGCTAAGATGCCCACCCACTGTTGGAGGGGGTTTTATAAGCATTAAATAAGGTAACACATGTAAAATATTTGGCATACACTAAGTGCTTAATATATATTAGTCACAATTAACTTTATCATTAAAGAAGAAAGCAAATTTCTATGTGAAAACAGGGCACATAAAAATAGAGTTTAATACTTACTAGCCATTTTTATCCATAGAATTACTTCTGTTTTTCTGATTTTTGACAATATATCTTAATCAGGACCTACCAGCGTATTTTTCTGCGCATTGTAGATGGCGAATTAAAGTCTGCCCAATGATTTATCATTTCCATCATAGATTATATTGTTCTACTCTCCTCCCGTCTTTTTTTCTTTTAAACAGGTTAATCATTTTAGTAGATTTCATATCCCTTTGAGCTTGCATGCTGTTTATTATCAAACTCTCCCTGTAAGACTGTTCCAACATTTCAGAACAAGGAGACAAATACAGTGAAGGAATTTTATGTATTAGCCAATCTTGGAGGAATTTTATTTTCCTTGCAACAAACAAGTTCTGGAGCCTCTAGGACTCGGTGCTGCAATAGTCTGGGCACACCCTGGGCAGAACAGTGACCAAGGGAAGCTGTCTCATGCTCAGGGACAGGTAGTCTGGGACAACTTCTGGTGTCCTGCAGCTCCCTACTACATTTGAAGCCAAATTCACTGGGTTTATAACTAAGACCTGTCTATTTTTCTATGGAGGCTTTGTCTTCACCCTCTGAAGTTGCACAGCAGTGAATCTGTGGGAAAACAACTTCTGGAACAATAGAAGGGAAGAAATAGACCCTCCCCTCCGCTGTCTAGGCTGGGCTGGGTGGGTACCTGCTCAAGCCTGTGGGGGCCTTAGCCACACCCTCACAGAACCATCGAGCCACAGCTTGGCATTCTCCACTGAGATAGTGATTTGGGGTGCATTTTAAAAAAATAACTGTGTTCTTCAACATTATATACCTTTCCATTGATCATCTCATCTTCAGTGGTTTTAATCTAACATTCAGAAGTAGTATGGACGAATCTAAACTAAGGGCAGCCTGGGTCATTCTCCCCTTTTCATGTCAATAGCTTGTATGCAAATCCCAAGGTCTCAGGAAAAACACTCTGTTTGCTCTCTCTTGATCTTCAGAAGCACAGGGGCTCCCATCAGGGTAGGCTATGTGTTCAGGTCACAGGTCCTGAACCTGTGGCCCTTCCACCACGCCTTTCCCAGGCCCAGGCAGCTGTTATGTAGACCAAAAGTATTTTCTTCTTTAAATGTTCCTGACTTATAAGGATGAAAGCCACTACTGAGAAGGTCGACTGAGAATATCTGCTTTCATGAATGTGAACATCAGTAGAAAATCTACAAGAAAAAATGTCACAATATTTCATGATGTTTGAACAAACTAACAAGTTATTGAGTACGCATTGAGCTTTCTGACAAATATAAATAAACTTGAGATTCATCACTCTAAATGTCACTGTGATTTAGCTAACAGAATAGCTATAGCAAGCACACATTTTAAAAAGTTCAGTTCTAGTCCTATCATTGTGAAAGTGTGTTTTTAAAATTTCAAAATGAGGCTGAGCTAACATACAAATAGCTATCTCTGACTTTTCCCTTCTTGTTCATTGGGTCAGATAAAGCATAATAGGGAGAGTGTCTGTTTTCTACACATTGTGGGCTCAGATGCCTTTCCTTCCTATGGTAAAGTGTTTAACAGGATCTTTAAAGACCGTCAGCATATTGGCACATGCCTGTAATCTCAGCTACTCAGGAGGCTGAGATAGAAGGATTGCAAATTTGAGGTCAACCTCAGCAACTGTCAAAATAGAATAAAAAGAACTGGGGACATTACTCAGTGATAGAGCATTATCCTAGCATATAAAAGGCCCCAGGTTCAATGCCCAGAACTTCAAAGAATAAAAAAAAACACTGTTAGAATTTTCAAGAAGACATTCTACTTCTCTGCTGTATCTTTTCTCTTCCTGTAGTGACAGGTATGGTTTATTATCAGATGTAGCCAGATCATAAAGATTTGCGGGGTGTTGGGGGGGCCAGGTTGTGGCTCAGTGGTGGAGTGCTTGCCTAGGACATGAGAGGCTTTGAGTTTAACCCTCAGCACCTCATACAGATAAGTAAAATAAAAGGTATTGTGGTCACCTACTACTAAAAAAAAATTTTTTTAAAGATATTTTTTGCTTAAAATAGAATAGACATATCACAAGCCAAAAACGTGACATAGAGAGGGTGGAGCTAATTGTCTCATTAGCTCTTGGGTTGAGCGATTGCTGTTCTTTTCTTGAGCTGCAGTGATTGTGTTCCCCTGTGTCTGAAGTTTGACTTCATACCCATTACCTGAGTGACCAGCCTCAATCGGGATAGCTCAATCCCAGAATAACGGCTCCCTGTATTCTTCCCAGGGGATCCGGGTATTTCTGGCAAGGATGGGGCCAAATCTGGAGGCCCGAACAACAAGATCCAGCCCTGGTGTTTCCAATCCAGGCAGGCAGCACCTTGGCATGAGTACTGGGGCCATCTCCAAGGTAGAAAAAGTGTGAGGGGCATATCTGGGTATCTGCGCCATGAGGAATGTTGGAGGTCATCTACTGAATTCTCTACATTAAAAGATGATGGAGTGACTTACAGTGGGTAAGTCATGTGGCCAGAGTCACCCAGCTGATGGAGGGTGGAGAAGTGGTATAGAGCTGGGGTGGTATAGAGGGAGGT